TGATGGTCCCACAACTTCAGATCCTTGTACAATTGAGACTGACCATGACATCCAACTTTGTTAGAAAACAAAGCCACAAGCCACAGATGAATCAGAGCTGGTTCAGTGGCAGAGGGAGGGGGCTAGAATGTTCAGTATCATTCCTCCTTCTGAATCTGAGATAGGGCAGACGCAGGAGGAAAAGGGGTAAAGAGAAGAGAGGAAGACAGAGAATGGAAGGGGAAAGCAAGACACAGTGACCCAAACACTTTTTGTCTATTGGTTGATGGGGGTCATGTGACCGTGTATAGCAAGCATTCCTGATTGGTTGCTTGACCTCTTCTAGGTTAAAGACCTAGGAGCAAAATTAAGATTTCTGGGTTGGCTGGGGCACAGTTGCCGCCTTATTGCCTGCCCATCCCCCTCTTCCACAGATTAGGTGGTGGTGGTGATCAAGAATCTCAGGCCCCTTTTGTGTTTTCCTGTTCCCAGGTGAAACCTGGAAAATAGTAAAAAACTGATCTGACTGCCAGGCAAATTATTCGAGAGGAAGGAAGCCCTATTGTTGCAGGAACAGAAGATGGTATTTAAAAGGCACTTTTAAGCCTAAAAAACAGAGAAGGGGGCCAGGAATTCATCGAATGCCTCAAGAGAGTGTGTGAATTTGTAAAACGCACTCACAGCCTCCACACAGAGAGAAAGGAAATGGGATTAAGATTCAGCTGGGGTCAGGGAGCGCGGTGGAATCTTGCAGGGCTTTGGCTCTGGTTAAATTCCTGGTTAAAGACAACTGCTCTGCTAGGGCCGTGAGAAGACCGGAGGGAAGGGGAAGAGTCAAATTATAGGCCAAAGGAATCTCCCATCTCCTTGAGGCTTGGATTGATAGGAAAGTTTCTAGACATCTTTAAAATCACACCCTGGTGAGGGAAAAGAGAGCTGAGGAGGGCAGGTAAAGGGGAGGGTTAATTTTCAGAATGGGCTGTTGAAGAAAATCACCCAAGATCCTAAGGCTTCTGAGGGAAATGAGGGTGTCTGGGAGGAAGGTAAGGGAGGCCGAATCTTGCCAGGACTGAGGCCCTGGGATCAGGCATTAGGGGGCACCTACATTCCTCACAAAGGAGCTTGGGGTAGGCTACCTCTGTCTTTCTTTGGTCCTCTGTCCTTCCTTAGTGGGCCTGAGCTATCTCTATTTGATTCTTTCTTCTCCTTTGGTCCTTGGGTTTGGGAGGCCTGGGTGGTGCTAGTAGCATGTCCCCTCCATTCCCCAACTGCACCTCTCCACAAAACAGACACCAAGACCCTCTCACCCCAAGGAAGCCTCCTCTTCAGGAAGATGGTCCCCTCTGCTGCCCTCCCCTTTCCAGCCCTGCTGAATCCCTCCCAGTTCACAGGGGCCTGAATTCACTTGCCACTTTCCTGGCTTATCTCCCTGTGAAGGTGACAGACAAAGGGAGGGAGTGTGCAGCCACAGGTGTGGAGGACACGTGCTTTCCATGTCCAATGCCTCTCCTGCTCCTACCCAGAAGCCCAAAGGGAGCCCCTCCTGAGAACCACCTTCCCTTCCAATGCCCACATTGGACCCTGCTAGCTCCATCCCCTAGAGGCTACTCTCTTCTGCTTTGGGAGTTTTCCCAGCCTAGCAAAGACATTCCCTCCCTCCATATCCAATACTCACAGCACTATAGTCACTGAAAGAGCCCTGTAGGCCTCCTGGGGCCTACTTTTACCTGAGGCAAGGAAGTCCCCAGCAGCTGGAGGGCAGGGGAAGCAAAAATCACAGTGGCCCCCGACGGACTAAGACTTCAGATTTTGGAGACTGGGAAGCTACCCACCACCCCGACCTAACGCTGAAGGGGAGAGGAGACCCTTTGGAGCCAGTCCAGGCTGCAGCCTCTGGGCTCTGTAGATCCAGAGCCCTCCTTCCTTGCCTTTCTCTTTAGTTTCCTCCCTAGCCTGGACTCTGAGCTACCGGCCAAGGGCTGAATTGCTCCCTTCCCTGGAAGAGGGGACCCCAGAGGTGCTTTGCAGTGGTCTAGAGTTTACACATTCCTACAAACACCAAACATGTATGTCCCCGCCTCGGGCTTTCTTCTCCATCCAGAGGAGATCTTGCAGAGCTCTGAAGAGCCAAGGCTTCCTCCTGCCCAAGCTGACTTGCAGCCGGAGAGAATAAGGGCTATACGGAGGCCTGGCCTGAGGAGTCCGTTCCCCCATCTTCCTACTTTCCAGCAGCTTCTTCTCTTCTCCCACCCCTGCATGGCAAGGCCTAGAGAGGCCTTTCCTCTTTTCCCTTGTGAGTGGGAATTACCTTCTTTCAAGGGGTGGGGAGGGAGTTAGGTAAATGGAAGGAAAGGTCTCAGAAGGGGAGAGAATTAACTTACAGCGTTCGCCTGGGATTCATTTTCGAAGATGTAACCTCTCTCACCATCATCCCCAGCGCCGTAATCCCCTCTAACTGCCAGGCCCTCTGTCCTAGCATTAAACCTCACCAGCAGCTGCGTGGCTGGACAGTTAAGATTATATATGATGTAAATATATTGTGGGTTTGTCAGCTCTCCCTACACCATAAAACTTGGTTTAATGACATCACGTGGTCCCCCAAGAGCCACTCACGGGCTTGCCTTCAGGCCATTCACATAAATAACCTCCAAAAGTTTCAAACTCCTAAATTCACATAGAAGCTGTGCCTATTTCTCCAATGCTCAGTTACACTAAAAAGCCCTCGTGCTGCTCCTTTGCCCCACCCCCACACCCCCTTACAGGGTGGGGAGGAAGGAGAGGATGGATCTTTATTTATTTACTTACTTATTTCCATAAGGACCTGTCGCCTTCGAGGTCGTGTTGATTTTTTTTTCTTCCTATTTTTTCCTCCTCTCTCCTCTAATGGCTCAGAGTGGGCCGTGTCCCCTCTTCCCACTCCCCGGGGAAGGTAAGTCACGTTTCATCCCCTTCTTTCTTGCTGCCAGAGTGGGTGGGTTCCAGGGCAAAGTGGAGAGGCAAGCTCCACCGTCTCCTTTGGGACCCGAAAACCCCTGCACTAACTGCCCCAGTGCAATGCCAAACCCTGGCTCCTGGAAAATGTGCCAAGAGGCTGTCCGCTGGGACAGCTACCCCTAGACGCTAAGCAGAAGCCTCTGTTCAGGGAGAGATCAAGGGTCTGGGCCTCACCCACTCCCAGCACAGGGGAGTATTTCTGAGGCCTCCGGCTTGGGTGCCTCTGCAGGCTCCTCCGCTGAAGCGGAGGCTGAGCCTGGGCGCAGGTCTGCAGACTGTGACAGGAGGGAGGACAGGAAGGCACAGCGGTGCTTTCTCAAGCCTGGCCCAGCTAAGTCAGTTCTCCAGCAACTCCGGAGGAGGAGGCCCGAATCCTGCTGGGAGGGGCAGTCAGTGCACAGCGGGGCTGCTGCACCTGGCCTGGCAGGTCTGACCCGCATTGTTCCTGCCCGGGCCAAAGCCCTTGGTTCTCCTCCTCAGTCTGTGCCCTGGGGAAGCAGCAGACCTGGGAGGCTGGAGTGCGGTGACACAGCCCCTTTCTTATTTAACTGCTACCCATTGGAGACGCCAGTGCTTCTTCATGCTTCACTGCTTGCCCAATAGTTTTACTCAGCATGGAGAAAAAATTAAAATAACTCCCTGAAGAAAATTACACATTTTATTTCAGAGAGGGCGGGGGAGAGAGACTGAAAGTTGGTGCTGGTGGGTTGGCCTGACCGGCTCTGTACAAGTTGAAGGGAGACATTACCTGTGCCCTAACCCGGCCAGAGTCCAGGGAGAAGGGTAAGGGTGATAGTCCTGTGCACAGCTCAATAAACATTTGCTGAGATCTCCTATGCGCTAAGTGCGGGGCAAGAAAAGGCTCTCAGGTCTTCCCGAAAATGATGGACGGATGGGTAGCTTAGGCAGCAGGATAAGGACAAAGTTAGTCCTTGTAATAAATCCAAGGAGCATCAGCATTAATAATCATAAATATTCTCCCTGCCCCTCCCCAGAACTATTCTGCTCCCTTTCCCTCTCGCTGCTGCTGGAGCAGCTCCTAGCCCAGCTCCAGACCCCCACCCCAACAGTGTGGGGGGCCTAGGCTAGGCTCCAGGAAATCACCCCATTGTGGGAGGCAGGAGAGGAAATGCAGTAAAGTTTTATGGACCCTTCCCACATTTGTTTCTCCTGCAAAGTGCTTCCTCCCTCAGCCCATCCCAGGAGCCTGCAGCTGAGCAGAGCGGAGTGGGCCTAGGTCGGCCTTAGGCACCACCTGAATTATCCGCCTTTTTTTGTTCCTTGTAGGTCACCCTCCCCCTCCAAACAAAATCTCAGAGACTGAGATAAATGATGGCAAACAGACGTGACTCTGGCCCTGGTCTATGCAGCTCTCATCCCGGTTAGCTTTCCTAGCCCTAGGAAACAGTTTGCACACTTCTGGCGAGGCAAGTACACTCAGCAGACTGCTCTCCCTGCTCCCCTCTCTCCCAGCAGCTTAGAAAGCTGAAGTGTACCCTGCCAACTCCCCGAGCATTGCACCTCTCTACCAAGCAGTACCAACTTTCTCCAGGGAATCCAAATGGGGCCAAATTGAGGGCTCAGCCTTCCCTCTGTGTCCAGTAAAGCCCCTTCAAGGACCACCGAGCCCCAGGAGAGATTTTCAGAGGCCCAAAGGGCCTGAGTCCGAGCATGCCCCATGCACGGCGGAGCCACTGGTCCCTACACGTTAGTTAGGTTAGGTCTGGCATGGAGTAGAGGCTACTGCCAGTCTGGAAACATCAGATGCCTTTGACAGCCACAGCAGACAGGAAAAGCCAGTAGAGAGGCCCGTGCCTTCCTCTTTCCCCAGAACCCCTTTTTGGAACCAAGAATCAGAAAAGGAACTCCGTTTCACCTCCCTCCTCTTGCTGCCCCTAGAAACACCTGAAAACATTTCTTTTAAAGAAGAGGTTTAAAGATTTTGGGCCTTGCGCTATGCCTCACAACCCATTTAGACACTTTTACTCAAACGTGCCCTAAACAGACAGGAGCCGCTGCATCTTTAATTCTGTTCTCTCTTTGTCTTTATTTGATATGACAAAATATAGTTTCAGGAAGGACCCGGGAGTCAATAAATAGTTGGGCAACAGCGATGGGGTAGCAGGGCAAGAAAGTCATAGCAGGAACTATGAGACAGAAGGAGCCTCTGGGACCATTTGCTGGGGTTCAAATGGCAGAAAGCCCCAATAGTTGAGCTAGCTAGCAAGCTGGGGCTGCGGCCTGAGAGGGCATGCAGCAGGCGAGGGCTGGGGAGGCTCCCCGACTTTGGGGAAGGGGCGGAAGATGTGGAGAGGATAGGGCAACCACAAGGGCCCTAGGCCCATATTCAGTCTTCTCCCCTTTTCATATGCAAACCATTAATAAGACCAAGTTTAGTTGCCATGAGGAAGCACCCCAATTTGGCAATGGATTCTGCCAGGCACAAGTACTCGCCAGCCTGGGGTCGCCTGGCTCACCTAGCCAGAAACAAAAGAGATGAGAGCCTGGAGGTTGGGGTGAGGGGCCTACAGTGGGCCGGGCCCACCTTAATTCAGGCGGGCCTCACCGGGGACTGGGGATGGAGAGGTGGTCCAGGCTGAGGTTAGTTCCCTACCAGCCTGTGGTGCTCCGAAGCCCTCTGGGAAGACGCTGCAGAGGTAGCCTTGGGCCCCAGGTGCCCAGCTGAGCTAAGCTGAACTTTGCTGAGCTGAGGGGAGCAGGCAGAGCGTGCAGCCCCTGGAAACCCAGGGGCAGTGGGATGCAGAATACCAAGGAAAAGCGCTTTTGTCTGTGAGGCCTGGGGAGCCAAAGCTCCAGCTCCTGCCCCCCCACACCCCAAAATATATAGAGAGAAAAACCGAAAAGGAAAGGCGCAGGGACCCAAGCCGGTTGGGGTGCTCTCCGCGGGCTTCCCGGCTGCCTCTAAAGAGCCTCTTTGCTTTTCATTTTGGAATCTTTCTTCCACTTCATCCTGCGGTTCTGGAACCAAATCTTGATCTGTCTCTCGTTGAGACATAAGTTGTTGGCGATCTCTATGCGCCTGCGGCGGGTGAGGTAGCGGTTAAAGTGGAATTCTTTCTCGAGTTCCAGAGTCTGGTAGCGCGTGTAACTGGTTCGGGACCGCTTGCCGTCCGTCTCTGGAACATAAATCCCCCCAAGCCAGGAAGGGGTGAATAGCGTGCAGCGCCCCAGCTTCCCATCCCAGTCCCAGGCCCCCCCACCCGCGGCCGGAGGGAGAGGCAGCGCCGCGAGACAGGCCCGGCGGGCCCGGCCCAGCCGAGCCCCGGGAAAGGCGCCTCCGCCCAGGCAGGAAACTTTCCACCGCGGCCTTCACTCCGCAGCCGGAGGGCTGAGGGGGGGTGGGGGGAAGAGGGAGACCCAGGCTCGGACCGAACAATAAGCACTCCCGAGATCCGAGCACCGGGGACCCCCCTCCCGCCCCTCCCGAGTCGCTGGAATCCTCCGGAGCCGAGAGCGCGGGCCGAGCGGGCTCCGCAGGGGAGGGAGGAGGGAGCCGCGGGGGGATCCCCGCTCTGGAGCCCCGCGCTCCTCACCCTTCAGATCCCTCTATTTTTTTAACTCCCTCCCTCTCCCCCAAAAATTGAATATTGCCTTTTATACACGTTTTGTTCCTATGATCCAATTATGTCGTCGTAAATTTGGGCGCACACAGCCTCTAAGCCTTTTAGTGGACAGTTTTACGAGCCATTGATGCCTGGATCGTAAAATTTATGGCCGCAGGTTTTTTTTCTTTATTTGCCCCGCATGGCCTATAAAACCCAGGCGGACCCGAGCGCGCAAAATGAAGTCCTAAAGTTTACCGTGGCTCATGTGCAGTTTGGTCATCCACGGGTAAATCTGTGGCGGGGCCGGTGGCTGGCTCAGTCCGGCGGGTTGCCCTGTCTGCGCCTGCTCCTCTTTGATCTCCCCTCTGCTCTTAGCTCGCTCCTCCAGCGCCGGGCGAGCCGCCTTCTGACTGTACATCCCGGGGTTCAGAGGAGCCGCTTCGTCTCTGCCCAGAGCGTGTCCCGGAGCGGCCGCAGCGCTGCAGGCGGGGCGGTCGGGGTGAGCCCGGGGGTTGGCAGCCATGTCTACCCCGTGGAGAGAGTTGGAAGGCGCAGGCGGTGGGAAAGTGATGCTTAAATCCAATCCGCCGTAGCAGTACCTGGATGCCTGCACCTCTGAGGCCGATCCATAGTTCCCACAAGTTTGCATGTTATAGGCAGGGATATTGGGGCTCTGCTTATAGAATGAATTGGTTACGTAGGAGCTCATGGCGGGGAGGGCCCAAAAAAAATTTCTGCACCCTTTTTGATTAAGGGTGATTTGTGACTCTTTGAAGTTGAGGGGTTTTTTGTTCTCCAAAGTGCACAATTTATAGGTGGAGATATCTCTTTCTTTATCCTATGCGCTCTTCCCAAATAAGGGAGCCTTAAATAGAGTCACGTGACTCGAGCGGCCACTCATAAATTTGGCTTGATGACCTCCGGGAGGTTAGTGATGGAAGCCGGAGAAACGCATCTTGATATGTTGGCAAAGCCCAACCAAGGGGGAGAGGGAGTGAGAGACAGAGAAAGAGAGGGAAGGGGGAGAAAAAAAAAATGGTTCTTGGAATTGGGGGGTAGGCGGGACAACGAGTCCACAGCGACACCTGGTGCCTACTTGGAGGAATTGCATCATGACGCGCCGGCTCGCCTTCTGGTGGCTGGATTTTCTATCCTGTGGAGAAGGTGCTTGTTGCTGCAAAGATTTCCTGGGCAGGCCCTTTACATTCTACTTAAATTGGAGAAAAGATGAGGCCTCCTTTAGGATGTACAGCGATGCTTTTTCTAATGTATAGCCCGGTTCTCCCTAACTCTCGGCTCTGCTAAACTTCAAACATGGCTGAGTAAAAAGGCAGCGACTGCCCAGGTTGGAGAACCAAATGTGTTTATTTCAGGTTCCTCGAACCAAAGGTTGAGATCCCTTGCCTCAGAGGCCCCAAGACCCCGACACTGCTGAGGAGGTGCCCAGCAACATGGGAAAGTGGGTTCAACCTCTGAAGAGCCAGACAGGATGCCCAAGACAGGGGTTCCTGGGTGGCACAGCTAGATAAGGAGGTCAGGAGGCTGAGAGTGCTGGGGACTCTGAGATGAGCCCAGAGGTGAGGAGCCAGGAGGAGTTGGTTATACTTCATCATGCCAGGAACCCAGAATGGCAATAGGCAATTTTCATGTGTGTATGTATGCATGTACATGTGTGTGCATGTTGTATGCATGTGCATGCCTAGAACCAGACACAATGGGGTGGAAGGCTGCTTGTGCATCCTCGTGTGCTATCCTCATGTTGTACAGATGCCAGATACTTTAGATAGAACATAGATGCTACCTGAGGCCAGAGAGAGGCGTGCTTCAAGCCTCCACAAATATTACATGAGCAAGGCAGGGGAAAAGGCCTGTTTGCACTCTTTAGGGAAAAGGCCCCTAAGCTAGGCCTTCCAGGGACCTGAAGGCCCATTAGAGAGGAATTTCTCAGCTTTTTGGAGGCATGGAGTGGGCCTGGCTGGTCCCTGAGCAACCATGGCAGCCTTTGGCCAGGTCCTCTGTAGCCCTTTCCGCTCCTCTCCTAGTCTCAAGTTTGACTCTTTCCTGGTTGCTTCTCCCCTTCATATCTCTGCCTCTGCCAGGAGAAGCCCCCCTTCCCACTGGCGGAGGTGCTGGAGGGGGCGCTGGCGGGGACCTGGAGAGTCTGGAAAACTCTGGCTGATTTCTTCCCTCGGGGGAGATCCCCTCACCACCTCTCCCTTAGGCCCACTCAGGTTTCTCTGGCTGGGCTTGGGAAGAGAAGGCGGGAGCTGAGAAACGGTTAGGGGTGATGTGCGCCCCTCACCCGCCAGGTTTGAGGAGAAGAGGAAGGAACCAGACAGGCTGGGGCTGTCAAGAAGGAGGAATTTTGTCCTGGCCACGTCAGGAGTCCCAGCGCAGGCGAGAGCTCAGCTTCCAGGCTTTCTCTTTCCTGATGTCCTTGAATCGTTCAGTCCCTGCGGAAGGACTCGAATCGCGCGGTCTTCTGTTCCCCCTCGGCTCTCCTCTCTGTCTCCGCCACGTTTCGCAACAGCCGGCCTGGCGCGGGCTGGGTGGGGAGGGCTCGCTCGAGCGGCGTCCCATTCCCCGAGCTCCGGGGAGTGGGCGGGGGCGACCCAGGTGCCTGGATCGTGCTTCTTTTCTGGCCTTTTGGGGCTCTGGGTTCAGAAGCCCAGGACCCCAGACTATCACTGCCAGGAAGAAAGGCCCGTGCGGAGCTGGGAGCCCAACCCGAGCCGGGCTTCCCCCCGCCCCCTGCGAAATCCTAAGCGGCCCTTTTTGCGGGTGTGGGCTGCTCGGCGGCGTAGGGAGCCCACAGAGGCCTCCCAGCCCCCCAGCGCGATCACAGGAAGAGCCTGAGGCCGGGACTCGGCGCCGGGCTCCCGGAGAAGGCGAGTGCGGAGGACTGGGGCTTTGCAGGCGGCGGGCAGACGCGGGAGCGCTTGGAGCCTGCTCCAGGCCGGCGGGCGAGCGAAGTGACAGAAAGGCGGATATAAACTTTTAAAAATAATATCAGTTTTATTAAATATTCGAGAACGGATCCAGAGGTCGGATTTATACAGGAGGGTAACACGAGGGGATTTGTTTATTTATTTACTTATTTATTTATTTATTTTCTCCTACTTGGCTAAACAAACGACATTCACTTTTTTTTCTTTTTGTAATTTTCCCTCTTTTTTTTTTCTTCCCCTTTTTAAAATGAGATCGGAACACGGACGGTGCTAAACATAAATATAAATACAGAGACCACAAATACAGCTAAAAATATTCACACAGAAACGGTCACAGTTTGTAATATGCCATAATGACCCCCAGGAATCTTTAAATACAATTTGCCTGGTCTGGGCATTTGCTGGGGCAGAGGGGCCGGGCAGGGGCTGCGGGGAGGCCCTGGGGGTTCCCTGGGGCCAAGGCGCGCCCTCCTTGGGCCTCCGGCCCTCCCAGGCTGCCAGGCCGGGCCCTGAGGCCCCAGAGCAGAGGCCCCAGGCCCGGAGCCGGCTCTCTGGGCGAGGGGGCGCAGGGGGGCACGACCTCATTTGGAGGGAAATCTGTGGAGTCTGAAGCGAGGTTCAGGGAACGTGCCCCCCAGGCCTGGGCGGGGAAGGGGCTTGCAGACAGGCCGAGAAGGAGCTAAGAGGAGGAGGTGCGTGGTGAGGAGTTCTGCGGAGAGGCAGGGGTCCAGAGCTGACTTTCAGGTCCACTTTTGACTTCCTAATTCTGTGTTAGGGAGTCAAAACGCATCAATTGTGCCAGTGATAAATACAGAGCGCGTGATTAGGGGAGAGCTGGGATGAGCGAGGGGGAGCGAGCGTTGGCAAGGACAGTCCTGGTCACTCTTTCTGCTTCTCCTCTTCTGTCTCTTCCCGCTTTTCCTCTTTTCCACCCAGGCTGTCGGCGGCGGCCCCTCCGCCACCCCCCGAGAGTGTGGACGTGAGATTAGATTCTTTTTTCCACTTCATCCGGCGGTTCTGGAACCAGATTTTGATCTGTCGCTCGGTCAGGCAGAGTGCGTTGGCAATCTCGATGCGCCGGCGCCGAGTTAGGTAACGATTGAAGTGAAATTCCTTCTCCAGTTCCAGGGTCTGGTACCGCGAGTAGATCTGGCGGCCGCGCCTCCGGTCTGCTCCATAGCCGACCCCTACAGATCCGGGCACAAAACACACTAAAAACGATCAGCAAAGCGTCCTTCCAAGATGATTACCCCTAGCAAAGCCCTGACCTCCCAACTTGGCCAGCAGATTGCAGCCCCCTCAAGCTCTAGCCTTCTAAATCCTTTGGCCCTGCCCCACCCCCACTGGGGTTGCAGCCAGGACCCCAACTTATAGAGTCCTCCCATAGGAGGTAGATACATGTCCCGCAGAACCGGCTGGCGGGGGGTGGGGGTGCAGGGCAAAAAAACAGGCAAAAAGCTGCCAGTCTAAAATCTGATGTCTGAAAAATCCCAAATACTGAGGATAAGGGCCCATCTCTCAAGGACTGAGTTTCCCCACCTCCCTAAGCACCCTACCTCTTTGGAAACTTCTCCCCACTTTTCTGTCCTGTCCTCTCCCTCTCCCTTCTTCTCAGCCTAACTCCACTTTGGGGGACTCCTTGTCTTCTCCCCTCCCCTCACCCCCCTGCCCTGTTCTTGCCCCCTCAGCTCGCCTTGGAGCCCTCGTCAGTCAGGGGGCCGAGGGGGCCAGGCCCCTGTGAGCCAGCGCGGGAGGCAAGCAGAGGGGGCAGAAGAGAGGGCCCTGTCTCGGCGTCGGCGAGGAGACGAGCGTGATTGTTTTTATGGGGCCATAAAAAACTCTCTCCGCCCGTTCTTCTAGGGAAGCTGGTCATAAAGCCAGTTCAGTTTATTTAATTTATATCTCAGAGCTGTAAAACTCACCACTGTGCGAATTCATTCGCTGCATCCAGGGGTAAATCTGGATACTGGCTTTCTGGTCCTGGGGCGCAGTCCTGCCCTGCTCAGAACTAAAATCCTGAGCGATTGAGGTCTGTGTGTTATGTCCTAAGGTGTTTTGTCTGCAGTTTGAGAGCATGTCTTTCTCCTGGTAAAAGGAATTAGATCCATAGTCATACGGCCCCCGGCTGGAACTGAACACGACATTCTCCTGTGGCGAATAAAAGGGAGTCGAGTAGATCCGGTTCTGGGCAACGGCTGCTCCATAGGTCGAGAAATGCCTCACTGGATCATAGGCGGTGGAATTGAGGGCGACGTTGGGGAGGACGTCCTGGCCCCCGGCGAGGTGGCAGGATAAGGAAGGGTTAGTGAAGTAGGAATTCATCCCTTTGCCTTTACCTGGTCGGGCTATGATTTCTTTAATATTTATTTCTGTCTCCAGTTTGTACTCGGAACTAGATGGTTATAGGGACGGCTCCAATCCAGGACAGACAAAATGACAAAGTCAGCTGACCCCCTTCCAGCCAATCACAAGCCAGATGTCAAGAAGGGGGAAAAAAATCGCTTCTGCTTCTGTTGATTCCCTAGTTGAGACTAAGTGTGTGCTTTGAAAGTAAGACTTGGGTTTCTTTTTAAAATATATGTGTAAGGGAACAGGTTTGGGGGTGAAAGAGGGGTGCCTGTCCTTGAGCAGGGCCTCGAGCCCACAGAAAGAGAGATGCACTCCAAGAAATCTCTCAGCCCCAGCTAACTTTGCTCTGCTGTGGCCAGAGTGTGGGCGGGAGAAATCCCTGTATTTTCAATCCAATTTCATCTTTAGTATTTCCTCCATTCTAAAATTACATCCTGATTTCTTCCTAGGAAGACCTCCCTCCCAGCTCAGGGGCTTCTCAGAAATACTGTAACAAATCCTGGTTTGACCCTCCATAGAGTGAGTCTCCATCACTGAACTCATGCATTTTTTCCCAACAATTAAAAAATTTTAAAAAATCAAAAGGAGAAAGAAATTTCACACAGCAGGGCACCCAGAGGACGGAGGGTATGACTGAGTCAAGTTTAGAGAGTGATGTGGGGACCCGGGAAGTTTAAAGGGGTGGGGGTGAAACAACAGCCCACAGTGGCAAAGCTCAAGTGGGCAAGGGAGCAACTCTCCTGCCTCCAGCCCCTTCCTGCCTCCTCCTCAGGACGCTCTTTTTGGGGAAACTCTTGCAGCATTTTTGTGTACTGGGGAAAATGTATAAAAATACATTAGGAAAGACAGGAAAAGAGGCAGAAGAAAGGGAGGAGAAAGAAAACTGAGTCTTTTTAGAGACATCAACTCCTGTTTATGTTGGTGAGAATTTATGATTTGGAGCCAGCCATGGCCGGTGGGGTAATTCACACAGGATCCAGCCAGAAAGAGAAGACTGGCGGCGCTCTGATGGACAGCGAGCTTCGTGCAGGCTCAAGCGCCTGCAGAGGTCAGAAGCCCCCCAGCCCCTCTGGATTCACTGCCCTGCCAGGGGAGGCGCCCCTGGACCTGAGTTCTGAGGCTCCAGGATTCTGGCAAAGGGCTCCAGGGGAGTTCTTGTCCAAGTGCCAGTCACCCCTGGACCCTCAGCAGCCTCTAGCCCAGTTTTTCCTGACTTTGGGACTAAAAAAGGGATAAAATGTTAGAAAAGGCAGCTGGGTCCCAGGCTTCAGAAGGTGCTGCAGTGGGCGAAGTGAAACAGACGAAGGTGTGCAGATGCAGATTTTCCCCTGATCCAAACTTAATTTGATATCGTGACATGGGCAGAAAATGCTTTGAGTTGACAAAGAGGGTACTGGGGCGTGCACATGTAGCAGTGAAAGCTCATATTTTTCCCTCACTTTTTTTTGGGCGGGGGGGCACTGACTATAACAAGAACCCGGATGTCGCCCGGATTTTATGATCTTTTCCTTCTGTGTAACAAAGCGGAGTAATCAATGGGTAGCAATAAAGCCATAAACGGGACTACGCTGGGAAAAAAACTCGTTTATTCATCTTCTGTAATGTTAAGGTTTCCCTGGAGTGTCGCTAGGGGAGAAAAATAAAGTTTCGAACCCAAAAGCAGACAGTGTGTGCAGGAGCTGGTGCAGACAACATGAGTGTTAATACATGAACCTCATTAGGGGGTTGAAGAGTCTTTCTACCAATTTGTGCTTGCTTTTTAAAATCCAACCCCCACCCCAGTACTTCAGAAAGAAAGAAAATTGGTTGGCATTTAGAATGGTAAGGGAAAGATCTTTATAAAGGTTCTTCCCTTTGGAGTACATTTTCCTCCTCACAAGGAGATAGAGGTGAAAGGGTAGAGGAGGGTACTTACATTAAAAAGAAATTTTTAAGAGGAGTTATTTCTTTTGGGGGTGACATGGCAGGTACACAAACACAGACACCACTGTGGGTTACTTTTTGCTCTTGAATCCAGCTGTCCTCAAATTCATAACATGCCTGGGCAGAGGTTTCCAACAGCTGGCTGGGGCTCCAGTCCCCCTGGAGGACAAGAGGTAGGGGGAGAGAAAAACATGGAGGGGAGTGCCCTGGGGCTGAGCTAAGGAACAAGTCAGTGCACCCCTGGACAAAAGTAGCCTCTCTCCTAGTTCTCAGCCTCCTTTCTGCCCTGAAGGTAGCCGTGTAACAAGTAAAAGAGGCCGGAAGAAAAAGTAACCCCCCCTTATTTTGGAGCAAGATTGCTAGAGGGATAAATCATGTCAGTGGTATTTCTTTCAAGATATTAAATTGTTGCAATGTACAACAAATTGAATGATGGAAGATAGGATGCCTTAATGAGGTTTTGCTTTCTATGAGTGTTGATTTTCTATGTATTTTTAAATCTCTTTTGTGGGTATCTTGAAAGAAAGAAGGGGCTTCTGGGGAAGCATGTGCCACAGCCCCCAGCAAGGGTGTCTGAGTTTCTTTGAGCCCCTCCTTAACCAGAGCTGGAGAGGAGAGGGGCCCCAAAGTTGAGGATACTCTCTTTTGGGGCCTAAAGGTGCTGGGCTTCGGGGTGGGCGACCTGAGGAGCAGAATGTAAGTCTCAGGCCCGGAAAGTTAAGTGTTTTATTACGTCCCTAAACAGAGGGCAGAGACTGAAAGGTCTCGCCGATTTATAATGAACAGAAACCAGCTGCTGGGAGAAAAAGGCAGAAATGCTGGAAGGGGGAGAGGAGGGGAAGCAGAAATACAAATAAATTTCCCACTGCTTAAATACCTTTGGAAAAATTAATTTCCAACACATTCTCCTCCATCACCTCCCATTCCCGGGGAAAGAAGCCTCCTTCTTTCAGTGAGATCTTTAATTATGCAGCTGAAATTTGCTGGAGGATTCGCTCCAAGGGGGGAGAGCAGGTCAGAGGAACTCGATCCTTCCTGCATTGGACTGTATTTTCCTCTTTCATTTCATGTTTACTTTATTTTATTTTTTTGGCAAAGAATGGCTAAGGGAGGGCATCTAGGACTTGGATTTTTCGAGATATATTTATATTTTCCTGTGAAATCTGTCTGAAAACAATTATGGAAATTCATCAGCAGAAGCAAGAACAGATGTTTTATTAAAACTGCAGTTGAGCTCTGTAAATATGCAGAAGTCTCGGGAAGGAGGGAGCGAACTCTTTCTTTGTTTCTATAAAACAAGCCTAGAGAAATGAGAGAACACCCCCATCAGGCCAGCAGGACTCTGCGCTGCTCCAGCCCCTCAGCCTTCCACATTAGGCATGCCACAGCGAGGGAGCTTGGTGTCAAGAGCAGATCTGCGCCTTTGGAACTGTAATTAGTGGATTCAAAAACTGAATTCAAAAATGCAGAAAAGGAATAGAGGAGGAAAGTTTGCTGCTCACCGTCTAATCCTCCCCCCACCAATCCAAAACACATGCTTTTCATGAGCATTAATTATAGGAGAGGAATTTACTGCCTGCGCCTTGGGCCTGAGTGGGGTGCAGTCCCTGGCCAGGAGTCCCCAAGGCTAAGGGTAGCACTGGAACTGGGCACTTGGGGGTTCCCTAGGGTGCTTTAAACATTCCTGTTTCAGCCAGCTTTGCCCGGCTCCAGAAGAGGGGAAGGCTGGGGGGTCTCGGGGCTCCGAACTAGAGAGCGGGTGGTTGGGACTGGATCCCCTCCCTGAAGGGGTCCTTGGGCAGGCCTCACCTCGCCTGCCTTGGCGTTTCATTCTGCTCTGGTAAATATGCCAACTTAATTTCGTGGGAAGGGATACTTGAGGTGAGCAGGATGAGCTCCGCAATTTTTATGTGGGGGGACAATCTTTTCTAAAAGTACTCCTTAGTTTGTGTTCTGCCCTCTCCTCCCTCTCTCTCTCTCCCTCTCTCTCTCCAGATCCCTAACTCTGTGAGGACCTTTGTGACTCACCCTTGCACTGCTACTCATACTCCATTGCTGACCGCCGCAGCCGGCAACTATAGCTTGGCGACTCTGGAGGCTGCTTAGGGACCCCAACACTGGAGCTGCAAGAGTCAATGCTCCATCGGCAAGGCAGTTGGCTGCTTGGAAGCCACTGCATCTGCCAGACCCATCCGACACCATTCCTCATTTTCCAGAGCCAGAGAAGAGCAGTTGCCCTGCCGGCTTCTTTTGCGCCACTGGGCAAAGGCCGAAATCCCTCTTACAGAGAAAGCCGAGTTTCAATAATTGCTCAGCTCACCTCAAAAGAGCTCTATTTGGTTAAGGCTTTGCTGTTCTAGAGTGAATGCTCAGCGGGTCCCACTGGCTTATGATTACATTTTTTTTTTTACTGAAAAATTAAAAAATAAACCTACCCCAAATGGCTGGTGTTTGTGTACAAGCTCCTTTGATCTCCTTGGAACAGAGTAAAAGGATTGTAGAGAGCTTCGCTGTCTGCCAGAGAACGAATGTGAACGCACAGAACTGGTCTGCTCAGGGACTCCACAGCATGGCCGACCCAAGGGGCTCCCCATTTCTCATAGACACAGGGGAGTTTTCTGGGCATTAATACTCCCTCCATATACAGACTGCATTCCATACAGGAACACTCCTCCTTTCAAAGTTCAGGCTCCAAGACACTTGGGAAAAAGTGAAATTTGACACACCCAACCCGGAAATAGATGCCATTTGTGGGTGCTGATATTCTGTGGACAAGGTTCAGGCTGACCAGCTGAAGGGAATTGGGGGTCAGCTGGGAGGGGGGATAGGAGGAAGGGGCCAGATGGGGCATGTCAAACTGCTGAGAACTGCCTCAAACACCTCAGAGGCCTGCGCTGGTGACTCCTCTTTTGAGCTAAGAAGAGGGTGAAAGACTGCTGAAGCTGCTTTTGCTTTATTGCAATTCAACAGAGAAAAAAGGTATACGGAGGGGTTCTGCTAACTCATGTCATATTTCCTCTCCTCTCCTCTCTCTTTCCGTATTTTTGCATGGCTTTTCCTTACTGGCACCCCACCTACTGCTGCTACTATTAGCAGACACAAACCCTCACATTGGTGTTCTGTCTGGATTCTCAACTCACTTCTCTGGATGAAGATTAAAAAATAAAATAGGTCCCAAGTATCTCTGCTCCATCACACCCAGAAAGCTCTCTTCTATCTCCATCTGGGAAAAAAACCATTTCTGGCTACTGAGGGCCTAGCTCTCAAGTCTTCTGCCTTTATCCCAAGCTGCTCGTATCAGTTGAGGAGGAGGCTTGTGGGAAGCCTTCTGAGGCAGGACCTCATCCCTGCTGGGGACTGGGAAGGACCTCAGCCACCTCCGGACACTTCAGAGAGGTAGAGCAGATGCCCCCACTTGACTCAGGAGGAAAAGTTAAAATCCAGAATATTCAGAATATCTTAGGACCTCGGGAGTTATCAGAGGAGGAAGGCGGGGCAGTAACTGAGTGCTGTTATGCACTAACCCAGAGGATCTGCAACCTCCTGGTTTTTCTTGTGCCATTCAACATGGAACATTGCTTGGGCCCATTCTGGAGGTTTATGAGAATTGTAAAAATCAAGAACTTGGCATTTATGACATCACAGTGAGTTATCATATGGAAACTGTAAATGTCATAAATGTCATGTACAGCGGCAGAAGCTTTGTGTGTGGGCACACATAGGCTCCTCTTGCTTTTTTTTTTCCCTTTCCTCCTCTTTTTCCTGGTCTAGCTTCTCTCACTTGAAAATAAAATGTTATTATGTTCTGGAACAATAAGCCAACAATAAAACATCATCCTCACTTCCCTATAAATAATTTTATCCTTTATTGTTTGCAATCTGAAAGGACCATTTAATCTACGCTGGTGAAAAGAGGGGAAGACATGGGAGGAGGAAGTTAATTCAGAAACAGGAATATTGCTCACTTTGATGATATTCTTAGATTTGATAGCCAGGAGCAAAATTAAAGGCGAACAGTGGCCTCCTCAACTCTACACCTGGCACGACTGGAGATTTATAGGATCTTTAGGGAAGGGGCAATTTAACTTTGTAGGATTTGTTTAAATTTGCTGCCATTTTGGGGGAGTTGAGGAAAGGGAAGGTAGAAGTGCAATATGCTTTATCTAGCTTTAGGAATCCTCCAACACTACCCTCATTTAAAACCAACAACCCAAGTCTCAGGCAATCTCCTGCGGAAAGAAATGGAGGAGTGTAATGGGGGGTGGCGCTCAAGTTCCCCAATCACTGTGGCCCCCTTAACCAAGCAGTTACCGGGGAAGGAAGAAAAGCTAGAGGCAAGAGGAGGGCTGATCATAAGTCTCTCCACCACTAGGACACCCGGAGGTTTATGGTGTCCCCGTAATTCCTCTGACCCTATAAACAGCTGCCCTATTTTAGGACAATTTCTGCTTCCTTCCCTCGGAACGTGAGAATGAGGGAGCTGGAACGGGCAGGAGCGGGGTGCTGGAAGCGGGAGGGAATTGGAGATTGCGCTGCACTTTGTTCTCCTAGGCGAATTTGCTGGTTTGGCGGGTTTCAGACGCAGGGTGGCAGCAGACAAAACAAGTAAACAACTCACAGACACAATAAACAGGGGCGGCTGCGGCACTGGGGCAGAGGCCCTGGGCTGGGCAAGAGGCATCATTCTGGAGTAATGTCACCCCAGTGCCCCAAGTGGGGTGGCCACAGCCAAAAGCACAAGGCATCCCTCAGTGATGGCAGCAGTAAGGCGGGAGAAAACTACAGTCTCCCGGCACAGCTTGTCTGGACAGGAGATCCTTGGGAGGAACTTGAGTGCTCTGAGAGCTGGTAGGGAAAACCCCTCCAGCCCTGTTCCTGTCCTCGCTTTCTTCTATAGGGCTTCCTCTTGACATTTATATTCCTCCCTGTTTTGTCTTCCTGGCCCTCAAAGTAAGAAAGGCTGGGAAAGGAGGCCGATTAATTCCC